TGAACCCCCTCAGTGAGATCATTAACAAGACTGGCTACGGATACCGACTACGGAACGGAGCAGTTGTCAGCCACCTCCTGTACATGGATGACATCAAGCTGTATGCCAAGAGTGAACGAGACATCGATTCACTGATCCACACTACCAGGCTATACAGCAATGACATCGGAATGTCGTTCGGACTGGAGAAGTGTAGTCGGATGGTATCAAAGAGAGGGAAGGTAGTCAGAACTGAGGGGATTGAACTACCAGAAGGCAACATTGCAGACATAGAGGACAGTTACAAGTACCTGGGGATCCCGCAGGCAAATGGGAACCATGAAGAGGCCGCTAGAAAGGCTGCAACCACCAAGTACCTGCAGAGGGTCAGGCAAGTCCTGAGAAGTCAGCTGAATGGTAAGAACAAGATCCGGGCCATCAACACGTACGCCCTGCCCGTGATCAGGTACCCTGCTGGGGTAATAGGCTGGCCAAAGGAGGAGATAGAAGCTACTGACATAAAGACAAGAAAGCTCCTTACCATGCATGGAGGGTTTCACCCCAAATCCAGCACCCTGAGGCTGTACGCTAAGCGGAAGGAAGGGGCCGGGGACTGGTGAGTGTCAGCACCACAGTCCAGGATGAGACAAGGAACATCCAAGAATACATTGGGAAGATGGCCCCAACTGACCGAGTGCTCAGTGAATACCTCAGGCAGCAGAAACCCAAGAAAGAGGAGGGAGACGAGGAACCATCATGGAAGGACAGGCCCCTGCACGGTATGTACCACCGGCAGATAGAGGAGGTGGCTGATATCCAGAAATCCTACCAGTGGCTGGACAAAGCTGGACTGAAAGACAGCACAGAGGCACTAATCATGGCAGCACAAGAACAAGCTCTGAGCACAAGATCCATAGAGGCTGGGGTCTATCACACCAGGCAAGACCCCAGGTGTAGGCTGTGTAAAGATGCCCCAGAGACAATCCAGCACATAGCAGCAGGGTGCAAGATGCTAGCAGGCAAGGCATACATGGAACGCCATAACCAAGTGGCCGGCATAGTGTACAGGAACATCTGTGCCGAGTATAACCTGGAAGTCCCGAGGTCAAAATGGGAGATGCCCCCAAGGGTGGTGGAGTATGACCAAGCAAAGATCCTGTGAGACTTCCAGATACAGACAGACAAAACGATGGTGGCTAACCAACCGGACATAATGGTGGTAGACAAACAGAAGAAGACGGCCGTAGTGATTGATGTAGCGGTTCCGAATGACAGCAATATCAGGAAGAAGGAACACGAGAAGCTGGAGAAATACCAAGGGCTCAGAGAAGAGCTCGAGAGGATGTGGAGGGTGAAGGTAACAGTGGTCCCCATGGTAATCGGAGCACTAGGTGCGGTGACTCCCAAGCTAGGCGAGTGGCTCCAGCAGATCCCGGGAACAACATCGGAGATCTCTGTCCAGAAGAGCGCAGTCCTGGGAACAGCTAAGATACTGCGCAGGACCCTCAAGCTCCCAGGCCTCTGGTAGAGGACCTGAGCTTGAAGGATAAACCGCCCGCAGGGGCGTGCTGGGTGTTTATATATGTACGTATATATGGGTTGCCATTATGGGCAACTTTACACATGTATGTATATATATAATATTAAGCTTTCCCAGGCCAGGGATGGCTTAGTTGGGGCAGGCAGGCATACCCCAGTAGATAGAGTAGTCGCCCCATGGTCGGGTGATCGAATCCACCAAACGGCTACCCAGAGGTACCCCTGAGCAAGGTACCGTCCCTACACACTGCTCCCCGGGCACCTGATTAGTGGCTACCCACTGCTTCACTGAGTGACTGGGTCAAATGCAGAGAGAGTAATTTCCCCATGAGCATCAATGAAGTATTCATTATTATATATATATAATACACTTTTTTGGTGTTTCTGATCGATATCATATTAAGGTTGTCAAAATATGAAACTGCAGTTTTTATTTAACACAAATAAAGATTATTTCGATGTCTACTTAATGAGGTTACTAATATTGGGTGATTTTATTTAGATGGTAGCGATTATGTTTATATTTTTATCATAAATGTGGTAATACACACAGACACACATTTATGCTGTTTAATGAAGATATTGATAATATAGACAATATATCTGAAGCCATTTGCAATTTCAATAATGAAATTATTTAAAAAAAAAATCTTTAGTGTCATTTTCATCATGTCTGGAGCAGGAAGCAGGCTAACAGACTTACAATCAGCATTGCAGGAGTAAACACTGAGCAGCAGGCCCACTGTGAAGCTGAGACTCTTCATGTTTACTTCACTGTAGATCTGATGATGTCTGAGGTGATCTGTCCTCATCACCCACAGCTTAAAGCTCTGTATGTTCTTATGTGCAGGTTTAACTGTGAGAAAACTGCAGCACTGACCAAACTGTGCTTGTAAGCTTCAATAACAGGAAGATTCAGGGACTCACCACAGCTCTGATCCTCTGATAAAACAAGCTGAAACAAACCGCTCAGTGTTCGGTGACGTCTTTGCACTGCAGACTTTCAGATCAAGTCAAGCTGCAAATATCCAGATTTACTAATGTTTTAATACATATTATTCAGTCCTCCTGAAAAAAATAACTCCCCCCAGACTGAGCTCCAACAGGGAGATCAGTTTGAGAACAGAAAAAAACACCTCTGCACATAGCACATGAAAAAACTCTTAATACACCAAAGAAACACACGACAAGCAACAGGGGTGGGTAAAGGGTGAGAGACAGCCGAATTAGGCAGTACATCTAGGCCTGCAGCCTGTGCGCTGGTCTCCTTGATCCACCGTCAGCATCGGAAGGGAATAAGCATCGAAGGCGTTTGGAAAGGGAGGGGGGATGAGTGTGTGCATATCAGTGTACATGCATGTGTGTGCGTGTCCAGAGTTCAGCTGAGACAGTGTCCTTTCCACTGCTAGGCTAAGTAAGCAGTCTGCCAGCCAACACAGGTGGCCTTGCATGGAATGGGAAGGAACAGACTAAACACAGTCGTTATCAGGGAGTTGTTGTTCAGCTCCAGCCTTGAGACTGCAGGTGGCGCCAAAGGGATATCCGCATGAAGTGATGGTGGTTTTTACTTTAGTGCGAACAGCTCATATGAATTTCAAAGCAGTTCTACAGTCCAACACTGGTCTCTCAATCTCCCGTTGGAGAGCCGCGAGCTTCGCCATACTTGCGTTCTGTGATGTTGTCATTTCTTGTGCTCAAGGAGCCGATTCTGAGAACTCACGGCAGTGTGCCTCCCCGAGATGTCATCCAATTTGCGCCCAGAGATGTTATTCTGAGCTAGCCCTTCTGAGATGTATCCAGTCTGCAGTCAGAGATCATATTCTGAGTATTCACAGCAGCCGTAGCCTCTCCAAGATCTTATCCATGCTGACTCAATGAGCCCATTTTGAGAAACTCACGCCTCTCCCATCGTTCCAATCCCAGCAGGCAGCCTTGCGGGGGTTTGAACAGCCGGTTCTGCTTTCTTAATTCTTCGATAAGTCAGGGCCAAGCCAGCTCCGATCAGCCAGAACCCTGTTACCATGGTTCCGAATAGGTAGATATCTTCAGCACTCAGGCTCACCCAAACCCAAACTTCTCGTTGAGAAAGGGGTGTCAATTGCATTTAGGGACCAGTTGAGTACTTCCGCTCCTGGCCGCCACCCAACTCACATTGCACCCGACCGCTACAGTGCCTCCTGCGGGTGGTGGGCCTGCAGGAAGATGGACCCATGTCCCTTTTTCGGGCTGTGCCCGGCCTCTTTATTAGGTTAGCCGCTGCTCCTCCACATCGAAAGGAGCCAGTTGAGGTGGTTCGGGCATCTGAACAAGGATGCCCCTGTGGTGGCTACCGTGGTCCACACTCGTACTGTTTTTATAGATGGTTTTTGTCTTTGAATTAGAGGTTTATAAGCAGGGATCAGGGACAGAGAGAGATGGTCAGAGAGTCCAAGATGAGCTGTTTATTAACTGAGCGCTGGAGTAGCTCCATGGCTGACTTAGCATTAGCTTGCGGCGGAACATAAACTGCTATTATTGTGACCGCTGTGAGCTCTCTCGGCAAGTAGAAGGGTCTACACCGAACTATCATGTACTCTATGTCTGGGCAGCAGTGGACGACTTTAACTGTGGTGTTGGTACACCAGTTATTGTTCACATACACTAGCAGAAGAGGTTAAAACTTCTGAAATACTTTCTGCAGCTTTATGGAGTGACTCATTCTTTCATTCATCTGTGTCACGATAGATTTTCATGTGTTAATCACAACAGTGGTTTCATTTTCTCTCTCCTGTTTGTCAGATGCCCACTCCTCAGTCTTTCTCACACAGAAAAGCCCTCTGGATGTTTGATCCTGCAGAAAAGATTAAGATTAAAGGATCATTTAAAGAAGAAAAACCATCTCAGTCAGACCAGCTCACACAAGGCTCCAGTTCTTTTCTTTTTAACCTTGCATAGTGGTGTTAAGTCAGTCAACTCTTGTCAGCTTTTACCAGTCCAGTCAGTTCCTAATTTTTCATTCATTACTGATAGTAGAATCTCCTGTCGCATTAGGTTTCCACCGTCAGCAATATGACGCCATTTCAAAAAGAAAAAGAAGAATTTAGACTGGATTACCTTAATTTAATTTTGAAAAAAATTCACTTTGTGACCGTTCCCAACAACATGTTGTGTAGCGCTTTCTGTTCAAATCGTTCAGATCTGCTTAAATGACAGAGATGTTATTTCACTGCAGGGCAACCTGCAAGTGGCGAATAAAGCTTTGATTGATTGATTGATTGATTAACAGTGCATATTACACCGAGTGGTTTGTTTGAGCGTTTTATCAGATATATTGATCCCCGAAACTTCCTGTTGTCTCATGGTACAGAAAAACCCCAATCTATTAACCACCTTTAGGGTTGTTGATCATTTTTCCACTTTCTTAGAATTCGTTTCAATATGCAGATGAGAACGAGACTTAAAGCAGGGTGATCGGACCGATCATTCAGACATCTTCTGAAACATCAGGATCATCAGGTCTACAGTGAAGTCAGCATGAAGACTCTCAGCCTGACAGTGGGACTGCTGCTCGTGCTGTTCACCGTTTACCACAGCGATGCCTGTAAGTCTGCTTCTTGTACTTGTGTTAGATCAGTTTTTGAATTTCTGTCTTTCTCTTCATTCAGACACAGAGTGAGACAGAGCGAGGACATCAAACTCATATAAGTTCATGGTCATGAAGACCAGTGTTGATCTCAAGTGGGCTGGAAGTTCTTACCTGTAATTTTCTCACTCTTCAAAGTCAGATTGAATCCTTGCGGAAGAAGTGTGGTCACATGTCCGGCATGTCCTTTATTGAGACAGATTTTTTTTTCCTTAAATTTGTTTTTCTATTTTCTGTCTATTTCTCTTTTATTTCTTTGCTTAATAATCTTGGTCCAAGAAATAAAATAGGAGCCTGTATCTTTCATCAAGATAAAACAGATTGTATTTAGTTGCCTGAAGGAGCATTAACCTTAATTATATCTGGTATGTTGGAGAAGTCATTAGAAGCAGACGCAGCACTGAGTAATTCCTGTTTTTCTGTTACAGCTAAGGCAATGATTACTCGTGACCTTTGCTGTTTTCGCTTCTTTGACAAACGGATCCCAAAGGCGAACATCGTCTCCATCGTGAAAACTCACAGACAATGCCCCACACCAGCATTTGTGTAAGTTTGTCTTTCACTGTCTCTTTGATACAATCACTAATGTTTGCCAAGTAAGTCATTTATGATCGTCCACACTGAAGGTGTAACTCTTTTATTAACAGTAAAATCTGTAAAAATAAGAGCAAAATAATGATACTGATTTTTCTACAGGATCAAGACACCCAGAGGGCTTTTCTGTGTGAAACAGACTGCAGAGTGGGCAATGGAACAATTTGTGAAACAAGAGAGAGAGTACATTCCCCCTGTCCCTTAAAAAGCCAACTGGGCGTCCCAGCTCTCTTAACACAGAGGGGAGTCACCATGAATCAAAGTTAAGTAATAATAAAGGACCAACAGTGACTGAAGAACATCAAGACAAACTGACAAGTTTTTGTTAGATCTGCTTGAAATGACAGGATGTGTGCTGTAAAACACACAGACAATCTAAAGTATAGTGATTACTCATCACACAAACATTTAAATAGAAATTAAAATTTTAAACAATTTATTTTCTTGTCATTGATAAGTGATTGCAGCTTTACTGTTTGTTTTTATTGCTCTATAAAACTCTGAAATCATCCAGAAATGCTGCAAATATTTGACTTATTAAAATATCATGTGTTTTCTGACTGTATAAAAAGAAGTGCACACATTGGGACTTATAGCACAACTTTTCAACTGTAATATTAACCACGGGTCACTGAGCAGCCTCCAGTATGTACACAATATATATGGATTACCATCATAAACAAATCCATACAGGTAGTATGCCATATGATGAAGACGTAAGCTTTGTGTCCTTTGCTATAAATGCAGTCTGAAAAACTAAAACATTTAAGAAAACTACAAGGGAATTAAAGAGTCTTTCTTCAGGTGTACATAGAGCATTATTAATACAATCATTATAATATGAAAAAGAAACAAGTCTGGAAATTTTTCAATTCAGAATTTTTATCAGTGAATTTGTAGCAATGAGCAGCAGAAAGCTGTCTGGACACTTTAACTCTGAAGGTTTGAAATCCAAAATGGAAAAAGTAGCTCATGCTATAAGGTGTAAACAGATTTTAGGTTTCCTGTCACAAATGTGGGCACGTCTAACATTCAGACCGATGAACACACTCAGAGAGCAACTGTGAGTTCAGCATATTTCCCGAGGAAACTTTGGCATGCAGCCTGGAGCAGCCAGGGACCTGTTTGTCTCTGAGATACAGACAGGTAAACCCAACTGTTTAATAAATGGATCAGTGGTACCAGCAGTCTGCATGCCTACATGATTTATTGTGGGCCGATCTGACAGTTCTCAATGAGATGGTTTTTCTTCGGCCCCCCCCGTTTCAGCACATCCTATTCCTCCTTTACTGCCTCTTTAATACAAAAACTAATGCAGTGGTGTCCAAACCCAGGCCTGAAGGGCCGGTATCCTGCAGGTTTTAGATGTGTCCTTGATCCAAAACAGCTGATTTAAATGGGTAAATTACCTTCTCAACATGTCTTGAAGTTCTCCAGAGGCCTGCTAATGAACTAATCATTTGGTTCAGGTGCGCTGACCCAGGGTGAAATTTAAAACCTGCAGGACACTGGCCATTGAAGCCTGGAGTTGGCCAAGCCTGCACTGTTTGCCACAGTAATGTGTTATCCTCCACAGTGAAGCTGTAACTCCTCTATTAACAGAAAAATATGTGAATGAAGTCAGGATATTTATTTTATTTTTTGCACCAATTTCATTTTTTGAGTTTACAATCATAATATCAGTTTGATAACTTGGGTATAATGTTGAATGAAAAATTTCAGTAGTAATCCATCCATTCGTTCTCTTCTGTTTATCTATTCAGTGCTGGGGGGAGGGGCTGCCTTTAGTTATTATGGACAAAAGTATTGGGACATACTGGTCCTCTATGATTAATACTTCAAAAGAAATCCATACACACGATTAGAGTTCTAGCATAACTTTTTCAACTTTAATTTTAACCATGTACAGTTAGAGACAGAACACATGAGGAAACAAAGAGGAGAAGCAGAAAACTGTTTGTATATGTAAATATATATAAAGAAAATATTACAAAACATAAGAAGAAAAAAGTATCTAACATGTTGTTATTGGATGGGTGAGTCGTTCCCAAGCATTTCAAAGTAAAATTCCATCACTTTCTTGAACTTGTAGGACCAGAGAATTCAACAGAAGGGCCCTGAGAAGGCGCGCTCATTGGCAAAGATGCAAACAGTTTATATGCGATCATATAGATGTATGGAAATGTTTCTAGGGCGAGTTTTACGCTCCAAGTTCTGTTCTAAGTACAAATTGTGGTTCATTCCAGACATATATTTATATATAAAAAAGAATAACCAAATACAAACAAAGAGGAAAAAACAGCCACCGAGCAGCCTCCAGTATGTACACAATATATAAGCATTACCATCATAAACAAATCAATATGGTAATATGAAATATGCTTAAGTATAAGCTTCGTCCCTTTTGCTCTAAATGCAGTTGGAGAAACTACCATATTTTTCGGACCAAAAGGTGAACTGTCGACGAACGGTAAGGCGCACCGGATTATAAGGCGCTTCTTCTCCTGACTGAAGTTTGGTCTGTTTACAGCATCCTGCCATGCCATTGCATTTATTCCTAACCATCGGGAACCCTCAAGTTAACTTATCGAGTGGAAAAAAGTTAACGTTCATCCTCCAGCTTCACTGTTTATGTTACGCTAACATAGCTGTGTCACTAGCAATCACGTAGCACATCATTATATACTAGCTAGTCCAACTTCAGTAACCCTACAAATGTCACTGCTGTTTAGTTTTCTCTCTTTGTTTATGTTGGGAGTGTAAGCAGAGCTGTAGGTTTTAATTTCCTCAGAAATCTCTCAGTCAGAACATGGTTCCTGCTAACATCTAACTACGGTAAATTTAATAAATTGTTTTCATGGATGCCTGGATGTTAAACTTAATTGTTACACGTGGTAAAGCAACAACGCTGATCATTAATTAATTAAAGATGAAATAATTTAGGCTGTTTTAACTCTCAGTGATCTCGCAGTGTTCGTTTGACTTTGGGACCTGAAGCGGACGGAGTTTAGGACCCAGATTACTCCGTGAGGCTCCTGACTATGGTAGCTGTAATGCTCTGACAATCCATTAAAGGTGCGGGTTCCTAGCTTACCAAAGTCGTACTAAAACATATTTTGACAGATATTTGAGCGCCGTCTACCACATAAAATCAGCTCGAGGTCAGTGAGCACAACCAGAATTCACCGGATTATAAGGTGCATTGTTGATTTTTGATAAAAATTAAACATTAAAGGATTTTAAGTGTGCCTTATAGTGCGAAAAATACGGTAATCTAAATGTAGATGACCACGGCAATACCGACGACATGAACATGCTTTGCAGCATACTTTATTTTATTACTTCTCAAACGCATGGTTGCTGTTACAAAGACACAGCTGCAGCTCTCCTGCTGCCAGATCAACATACCAAGAACCCCAATCACAGGAACCAGTACAGATTTTAAGTGGACGGGGAATGACTGCGGATGCCGTGCAGGTGTCCACCCTCCCTGCACGGCACTGCAAACCACGCCTAGCCACACTAAAACATTTAAGAAAACTACAAGGGAATTAAAGAGTCTTTCTTCAACCGTATATAGAGTATTAATATAATCGTCATATGAAAATAAAACATGACAACTCTGGGAAAGCTCCTGAACATGTCATCTATATAACCTGTTTAACAGAGGGCTGGCGTTTTGTTGCGTGCACAAGCTGTTTGGAACATATACATATATAATAATCTAAAATAAAGCCAAACACAAAGTTTTGGCTGTTTTTGGCAAACGTCTTCGTAAAAGGAAGGTGAAAGGAAGATTTCAGCTTTCTGATGAGTCGTCCCTTTGGTGGTTGGACCCAAAAGGAAAAATGTCACAGAATCGTGAACATCAGGGTTTCGGGTCTAAGACAACATCCATCACTCACGTTACAATATAAAACATCTTTATTAGCACTGTAACCTGTAAAGTTTTCAGACACCGATCAGGCTTTTTGCATATTGTCGTTTATTCAAAAATAGTTAACACACACACTGCAATGACGATATCTTGGCTGCTGTGACACACATGACTTCCTCCCCTCCAGACTGCAAGCTTTAGATCCGAACACGTCCTCAGACAAAACATTTAGTAAAGAAACTCCTGCAGCACGATCCAATCTGAAGGCCCGGTCCACCGACAGCCACAAATCTGGCAAATCTTTCAAAATAAATCTCTGTATTTGTACCTGGACACTAAAATTTTGAAGGTACAGAGTCCAAAATAGAGAGTAGTTTTTGCTAGGAAGCTGTTAACAGATATTTAAGTTTTCTGTCACAAAGGAGAGCGGCCTTTATGTTTGTAGATCACTGAATATATAATAACACTGCTAAATGACCTCAAAATGACTTTTTTTGGGTGACTTAAAAGAAAACAAGAAGTATTAAAAGATGCATTTGGAACAGGAGAAAAGTGTATTTACTAATAAAGCTATTCAAAGTACAGGAGGCAAATTTTAATAGATTCGTTTTAATTTGTAATTTCTATATTACTCAGATGCATTTGCTCATGTTAAAAATGTGTTTTGCTTGTTTTGTGTGTCTGACGAGATAAAGTTCTTTAACTTAAAACATGTAATTGCTAACACGTGAACGAGCTCTGGAATGTAAACCAACTCTGCATCGTTTTATTTTTACTTAAAAGCTAAAAAACTACACTTTTATTCTAAGATTTTTTTTAATTGGACAAAGTAATTTTATTGCAGGGCTGAATTTGCTAATGAGAAAAGTCTGAGAAGCACTTTTACTAAAATATTATTTAAAACATGTATTTAGTGATGGGAGATGTGTTGTGATCACGCTCCATTTCAAACAGCTACTAATGTTAACAGGTACCTAACGATCACAGTTCACCTTCACACTGTCTTTATTGAACGGCACACGGGAACGAGCCAGTATTTCAGTAAAATGCTGCCGGGACGTTTTCAGGCAGTCAAGCATGTTAGCTTGAACGCTATGCTAGCGTGACCAGTTTAGTTTTTGGCAGTTTGCGGTGAGACCGGGCCTCCGCTCCACCTGACTTCTCTCCTCAGACCCAGAATCATTCAGTTGCCTTCCCTCACGTACACTTTACCTTCTCCTCACAGCTTTAGTGTGCACACGCCTGTTAAATCTTTAGAACAGTAAAAGAAAGAGTTGGTATATCTGCAGATCTATGAATACTTAGCGAACATACAACTACTACTTGTGAACGATGGCTATGCATGGTCCCTGCCATGTGTTAACGCCGCACTGAAAACTCAGAGGAACTCAAACTTCTCCTTGTCAGGAAATATAGGAAAATAGAATTTCACAAACACATGCATTCCCCATGGAAACAGACAGGTTTAAAGAGATACAGTAAAACCCTGCAGAGAGACGAGCGTGTGAGCTGTTTTGTGTGTGTGTGTGTGTGTGTGTGTGTGTGTGTGTGTGTGTGTGTGTGTGTGTGTGTGTGTGTGTGTGTGTACATATATATGTGTGTGTGTAAATGGCTTCCACAGAGAGTTGTTATGCCATGTGTTATGTTCTGTTGTGTGTTCTGAGGACCACGTTACAATGTGAACTTCAGACAGGATCAAAGGAAACAAGTTTGGAGCGAGCAGTCGCGTCTCTCTTCAGAAGATCTTTCCTTTCTTCTTGTTCTTCTCCATCGTCCTGTGAGCAGAGAATGAGAACACGAGATCAAGTCAACAGAAACAAAAACGCAAGCTTCAGACTTTATTAGTGAAATGTGGATATGCCATATTTAATTATTATTTCTCTCCATTTTCCATTTTGTTTGATTTTTATTTTAAATGTCTGAATAATGAAGAGGCCTAAAACTAGTAAAACTAACTCCACATTTGTTCTAATGAATTTGTCTGTGTCCAGCATTAAAAAAAATTAAAAGCCTCAATACTTTTATATAACACTGAACTAAAAAACTTGAGCTTTAAAGTTCAAGTGCTGCTTTTTTCAAGTAAGAATCCATAAATTAAATAAGCAAGATTTCAAGTGTGGTTCAATAATCAAATACACAATCTGTAATGTTGCAAGACCAGAACACATGATCTGTGATCGCTGGACTAAAAAGACGTGGCTCAGAGCGTTAACCTTCGGTGACAGTGTCGGGTCAGATGTGAGTGTTACTCACTTGGATGCGTCCAGCTTCTGCTGCTCGAGGATTCTCTGCTGAGCCTCCCAGTTGGCCTTCTCCTCCTCAAACACTCGCCTCTTCTCCTCCAGCTCTTTGTACTGCGCCTCCAGGTTCCTCTTCATCTGTTCGTGGCGTCGCTCCAGCTGAAGGTCGAAACATTTGACAGAGACGGGAAAGGAAAATGAGCGACGGTAGCTTCTAAAGCTCCAGGATGGAAAGAGTCGATCACAGCTGTCACAGGAGGCTCAAGTAAAAGATCCAAGTGAGCTGCAGAGCACTGAGCTCTCAGCACTAGTGTAGTAAACACCCCGGTAATAACAATTTACAACGGTCAGCTAATCGCAATCAAGAATGCTAATTGGTCATGTTATAAATAAAAATATAAACCTACTAGAAAGTTTTAAGAATACAAGTAATAATAATAATAATAATAATAATAATATTACAATTATGTAGTTATGTGTACATGGTTTCTCAAACTAACCTCAGCCTCTGAGTCCTTCAGTTTCTGCTTCTTCTCCTTAACCTTCATCTCAAACACCTGTTCCATTTCTGCCTCCATCTTCTTCATTTTCATCACATGCTCCCTGCGCTCCTCCTCCATCTGAGCCAGGGGACTCCTGCAGAAACAGAAAGAGGTTAGAGGCTTGATGTTGTTTAATGTTGTTCCTCAGCCCTTAGAGCGGTAAACTCCTCCACTCGCAGAGAAGCTGCTGCACTTCTGTGCATGACTAATGAATTTTTATGAAACAAAGAGCAAAGACAAATGAAGCCAATTTAGTTTCTCTTGAGTTGTTAGCCTGAGACTCTTTTTATGCTGGAGTAATAATGATAAAAGGTAAAGATATACTTTCTTTCTGTTCCTATCATATACAGAATTACTGTGACAACAGCTGCTTCCACATCTGTAGCAGTTTGCTCTGTGCCCTTACCAGTGTTGGGTAAGTTACTTTAAATTAGTAACTTAGTTACATTACTAGTTACTTCTATCAAAAGTAACTCAGTTAATTCAAGTTACTCGTTACTTTCAAAGTAACTAGTTACTAGGGAAAGTAACTTTGGTTTTACTCAGAATTCTCTTGTTAATGTGTTGCTTCCATAACTTTGCCAGTCTTCTAGCTTGCTTACTGTGCCACCTACCAATAGCAAGGAAAAGATAATGTGCATATTTCCACGAGGCAAATCCCACGCCTGGACCGCCACCATGATTCTAGCCTAAGTCACAGCGTCATGTGCGCCTTTTACATCTAACACAAAAACTGCAGTTGCTGTGTTTTTGATTGTACTCAGAACTTGGAAATTCTGCCTTCTGAATAGGAAGATGTAGGTAACACCAGACTGCAGATGAGCTGCATACAGGGCTGGACTGGGACAAAAAAAAAAAAAAAAAAATCAGCCTGGGCATTTTGACTAGAGACCGGCCCACCATTATAGTAAAAATCATAAAGCCTTTGAATGAAAATAAACGCTGTTGTGACAGTGATGTACACTGTTCTGATGGTATATATGTATCAATCTATCAATCATTTGTTGTAAGACTCAGATAATTATTTTTTAAAAGCTAGATATTTTAAATGAGAATAAGAAAGAAAAGTATTTCTTTGTGCCCCCCTTTCCCTGTTAATGCCCTACATGCCCCCCTGGCAACACTTTGCTAGACCCGCCCCTGCACAGTTACCAGCTGTCAGCTACATAAAAAAGGATCCTGGTGTTATTTGTCTCTCAGAAACAGTTCATAACTTCCCTTCAACTCATTCATGTCACCTAAAAGGTAAACCTGTTTCTCAATCACCTGTTCAGCTCTGATGAACAGCTGTATAGAAACTCCGTCATGGTAGCTAGTACGCAGTACGAAAAAGTCAGCATAACGAAAATAAACTCCACCTATATCTGACCCATATAGACTGCAGGTCATAACTTTTTACCTGAAGTTCAGTTCACCTGACACTCGGGTCTCTCCTCCACTTGCTAATGTTACTGAATCTGTGGAAGCTCTGCGATAGCCACCAATCTAAATCCCAGTAACAACGTGTTCCTGATTTTGGCATAATAACTAGTTACCGTGCTCGTTACCACAATAATAACGTAGTTACTGTAACGCGTTACTTAATAAAGCGTTAGTCCCAACACTGGCCCTTACAGACTGATGGTCTATTTCTGGCTGGGCCTTACTTGGTGAGCTGTCCCTTGGTCTTGGAGGTGTCCACACCATTACACGTGACAGCAGCAAGTTTCTTACTGCGGTAGTTCTCGTAGTGGACATTGTTGGTGACGTCCTTCAGATCCTGCATATGGGTCCTATGGAAGGGGGAGAAAAGAAGAAGAGACGTCTTAAATATAAAGAGATCAAACTGAAAAAACTTTTTCACAGGACTATATCATCCTGTGCTTTGAACCACTATAGCATTCTGTTGTAGATTTGCTGCTGTACTTGGGATCATTTCCTGATATATGACTCAATTTAGGCCAAGCTTCAGCTGTCAGGCAGACTCTGGAACACTTTGGTATACAAATCATCGACAACTTGATGAAGCCCAAATCATCAGCCCTCCACCACCGTGCTGACGGTTGTATGAGGCGTTTGGGCCGACACACCGTTTGGTTTTTGCTAAAGGTGTCGCTGTGAATTATACAGAAGTCTAAGCCGTACTGCCACGCTCTTTCTAGAGCAAAAAGGTTGTCTCCTGACAACCCTTAGACACAAATCGTACTTGTTCGGTCTTTTCCCCAATTGTACTGTAATGAACTTTAATGTTTAACTTTCTGAGGCCTGTATATTGAGATAGCACTCCTGTTTCTCTAGTTTCTCTGAGTATTGCACAGTCTGAGCTTGGGCTGAATTTGCTGGGACGTCGACTCGCGAGAAGACTGTGGCATTATTCAGTACACACGAATTCTCAAGACCAGCAACCTACCAAAACTTCTGCTTTTATAGAGGTGCTCACACTTGCTGATGACTTAATTAAGTGCATTTGAGTACCAGCACCTGGCTGTAAAAAACTTTTTATTTTTTATTTTAAATGGCTTTAAATTTGACATGTACATACTCTGGTTAAGGTGTAATGAAAAATTAGATCACCGAATAAGTTTCAAATTTACACAAACTGCAGATCTCTTCATTCACACACCAGGAGGAGCTGCAGAAAGATATTTAAACAGTTGCTACATCCACACAGCTGATCCAGTCTATATCCAGTCTAAAGTAGAGTCAGAGGATAATTCTGGCTTCTAGTGGCCACTGTGGATCTTACAAACTCTATATAACATTGCATTTGTCAAAGTGAATCTGGGGAGTAAATTGTGCACCTGATCAGCATGTTGCGCAGCACAGTGAAGTCGCAGTGTTCCCCATTCTCGACTGAAACACACAGGAAGTGAGAGGAAAACAGAGGGAGAGAGAGACAAAGATCAGAACCATTACAAATGAAGAGTTCTCACTGTAACAATCACAGTAATTATCACTATGTCTTAAGCTAGAAATGAATCTCAAGCATCATTATCTACATATTTTTACACTCCATGGCTGTCTAACTGCTGAGTAACTGAGTAATCAGCTGTCACCCTGATATGATGATACAGAAGCAGTCCCAGCAGAATGTCATCAAATTAAGTGTGTTATTATATCAAACATATTCAGTACAGTGATACAGTGAAAAAAAGATTAAAACTATTAATACAAATACACACAAACAGATGCAACATGTTGTAAAGTTCATTCACCCAGCGGTTACAAAGGGAGGGGTACACGGACAGCGAGGCATTTTTCAGGCGTACTCGGTTTAAAAGGGGGAGAAATAAAGGTGTGGTAAAGTATCAGTAGAAGTGGCAGACTGATTTAAAAAAACAAAACAAAACAAAAAACAAAGGGTGGGAAGATATCAGGCCATGATCACATAGGATGTAGATGCTCCAACTACAGATACTTCCACATCACATACTCTGTATTGCAAATTTAATGCCTGAAAATTTTGCTTTTACATTTTTTCCCACTATTAACTACCTAGCAGTGGGTAGGTGCTACCGCCTCGTACTGACTGCTACTTTGTCCCTTTCTGCTCCGTACTGAAGACGGCAAGCACGGAGGATGGAAAGTGTGGAGAAACCTCTGAACGTTATGAGCCCACCATCCTGGGACCTGTAGTGGGCTTTATCTGAGACACAGACACTCTGTTTAACCCTAAAGTCTTACATCTAAGTGATTAGCAAATCATCAGCACTCAAAGCTTCATCTCTGCTGCTGCGGCTGGAAGTGAGATGGGCTATGAGAGCGAACTGCAAGAGTAATCCTGCAAACCAAAGAAATAATCTGAAAGACGCCAAATATGCAGGATTTAGTGTTAACTCTCTGTGGGTACATCACTACGAACAGGCATCTTCACATTTAGTCTGCCTCCTATCTGACCACAGCCTTTTACAAACGGACCCAGAGACACCACGCAGCTAGAACAAACTACAGCTCCTGGTCAAAAACAGCAAACATAAGTGATGTCATTTCGACATGGTACAGTTAGATGACTGTGAGTTTCAGCTCAACAACAAAAGACAAGGTTACGAGGTCAGATGGGATTCTGGAAAAGAACTGCAGATAAACTGCTGCTGAAGATGTATATGGTAGATCTCCAAGCCTCCTCTTCATCAAACGTGCTGCTCCTTTATTGGCTCGCCTTCACCCCACTTCGCAGTCAATCATCATCAGGGGAGTGAACAAGGAGGACACCTTACCATTGATGAAACTTAAGGAGTCCCGCCTCTTGGCCTCCCAAGCCAGCCATTGACCTCCTGTCTCTTCTAGAGGAGGGAGCTCTGACGGAGGGGAGGGGTACGGTTTTTCAGTTACTGTCTGCGCCCAGCAGGGGGCTAAATCTGGGTCTGGAGCAGCTGGGTTTACGGCTCACACTTGGCCCATAACAGGCCTGCTTTTTGGCCCAGATTCAGCCCAGATTTGGCCCTGATCAACACCAAAACCTGCATGTGTCCAAGCTGACTGGCTAAAGAGCGCAGGGCTTGTAGAGGGAGTGTGGCGGTTGGAAGGAGCAGGGTGTTATATGAAGTTCTCTGCATGACCAGTTGGGGGCGAAAGTCTCAGAGAGGGGACAAGTAGAGGAGCTACGTGGGATCAAAGGTCATAGGAAAAAAATAAAACAATTGCAATTGATTCGTTTTATTATTGATGAATGGCAGAAAACACCTGATGCATATTGTAGATTTTTATGATAATTCGTGTGATTTTTGTTCTTTATTAGTCAATCAGAATATGATGGATGTTAACAGTGCATCAGGTATTTTGAGCCTGAGTGCTCTGTCTAATTGGAGTGTTTATTTAGGCCATGATGATGAACTGCATTGGCTTAATGAAACAAGAGCAAACAACCTTTAATCTCCAACATGCATTAAGTGTGTGTGCAAACACGTTCACAGCCTTAGATTAAAATTCCAAGTACGCTAATGAGTGAGAGTTCATGATACCAAGCCACATGTTACCTTAATGACTTAAATAAGCTGCTACATGCCCTTCTGCAAATTTCTAACTCTCTATTATCTGCTCATGAACCTATAAGCAATGTGTTATAATGGTGGCTCCCAGTCCTTGTTCCGATGATACAATAAGGCCTGCAGACAATCCTCAGCCCACACCAGCCATTTCATCTCTTAGTGAAAGGAACCTTGTGGTGAAGACTCAGCAGTTTGTTTGACACCATCGGAGCAAAGACGGAAACCACAGTGTTAGAGTGATGTTTCGATTACAGCTGGAGCTTCAGCACCAAACAGCCTCTAGTTTTCTCCATGATTATTCACAGCATCAGACCTGGGACAAAGCTTTACATCTGCTGGTAGATTTGAAAGGAAATTGAGAGGAAATATCTTTAAATGCATCATAAAGTAGGTTGTGGTTACTTTGACCAATAGACTGGTCAATATTTAGAGTAGAGTGGGATCTGGGAACATATGAGTATCTTTAAAAAAAGGAACTTGGTGTCATAAGAAACACAAGCAGTCAGTCATATGAGCTTTAAACCTGTGGTTTCTAACATTTACTTCTAGCAGAGTGTTTTCAATATAACGTTTAGCTTGTATGAGAACTTGTCTCATACAGGGAGAAAGAAAAATGCCCTGTTGGCATTATACTGAACCTAAAAATGCTTTTCATTGACTTAATGAACAATGTCCTTAGCATGGAGCTGAAGCTGCTTTGGAATGAATCTGTGTGTTACCATTGCTGGTTACCACACGATTTACACTGACATTAATTGACGATAAGATAACCTTAACAGTTCCAAGGAAGCTGACTCCAATACTTAACCATAGTTTCGGTTTAGAATTCACACCTTTACCACAGCAGAAAGTCCTGGACTTTGTCTGCTTGGTTTCAGAATTCATTTGGAACCAGACCTTAATCATATCTTCACATTTTTTAAAGGCTCAGGGTTTGAGATTTCAGAAATCTGTAAGTTTATTGCAAACCAAACTGTGCAGTATAGGTCCACCAGACCTAGGTTCACTAGAGTGTCAATTATGTAGCCTATACAATTATAATACCTAGTAAATCATAGGCTTTGATGCCATTCATCCATTTTCCGCCACTTTTCCAGTTCAGGATTACACTTGGACTGGAGTCCATCTCAGATTTCATAGGGTGAGAGAGGGGGTACATATTGGAGAAGTTGCCAGTCTGTCGCAGGCTAATACACAGAGACAGACAAGCATTCATACTTAAAGTCACACCCAAAGGTGATTTATGCTGTCTCTGGACTATGCGAGGAAGCTGAGGCACTCACACAGACCCCATTAAGGCATGAGGAGAACATGCAAACTATACAGGAAGGCCTCAGCCAGCTGGTGGATTTGAATCCAGGACATTTTTGCTGTGAAGTGACAGTGCTAAGCACTGCAGCCCCATGCTGCCAGGCCACGACGGCTGGAGGGTGCAGAAAACCGAAAACGTCTGCTAACTCAACTAAAGTTGGCATCCCAGACATTTGGTTTTGCACGTGTTGCTCCATCTGTTCTGTCTGGGTTGGTTATGTTTTCCCCACAACAGTCTTACTAATTAGCATCTCATTTAATGCTTCTTTGTTATGGATGTAAATAGGTTATGCCAGCAGCCAAACTGCGATATGGCAATCTTAAAAATTAAACACTGTCGGATTTGCTAGGCCAAGGGCCCAAGGCCATCACATCGCACAATGCAGGACTATCACTTCTGAGCCACGACCAAAGACCTTGTTGTGCAGCCTTTAAGCAGGTCATCTTTTGCCTTCATAGTGCATACCCGACTTTGGTTCAGCATATTTTAAAGTCAGGTATACTTATTTGAGCCTGATTGCAAATAAAGTGGTTTAGAGAACCTGGGTAAGCATAATCTTTTCAAAATGAGCCCAATCATCTCACCGTTTGTGTTTCTTAACTTGCTAAATGTCACACTGTTCCCAGATTTTAGTAATTATGTTGGGGCAACAACAACTGATTAATGGATACAATATATAGTCAAAAATATCACAATGATTTAAGTAGTAATTAATTTAAATTATGTTCCATTTTTAAAGTTGGATTTCAAATTCTGAGATCAGATAACATAAATAATCAGTCATGGAACTCCCTGGTAGATCACTAGACCTCTTGCCCCATGTTAATAACTAGCATACAGCATGATTATGAACACTCAAAGTGACATAATAAGGCTTATGTAGCCTTGCTCATCTGACTTAAGTCAGTCTGGATCAAGAATTTCAAAATCATTTTACATTGTGGGCCACATGCAGCCAACTTTGGGCTTCTGTTGACCGGACCAATGAAACTCCAGTTTCTGTGTTTTGTTAGTGGCCATTGGGGAGACTGTTATCAATAGAAAAAGGTGCAAGACTTGTGAAAATGCAGATACGTCCAACATTTAAGTCTTTCTTTACATTTTCCAAAGCCATCCAATTGGTGGGAATGGAGTCTTTGCCAGGCTGATTCTGGCCCCCAAGCCTTATATTTGATGCCCCCGGTCTCAATTATTTTGTGTTTAAAGCAATCTGCTTGCTGGCCATTATTTTGCTAGTGGACATTCTAGATTGCAGGTGCTTGTATAACCCTCTTGTAGATTTCCCACTCAAAATGTTTGAGTGAAACAAGCACTGTTGGTGTCATCTTTCTCCTTCATTACACTGCCCTGAAGTTAACATTAGAAACATTCCTGATCTGTTGAATGATAAGGTGAGTGAGTGAGTGAGATATTTAGTTTTAATTCTTTCCTCGACAATGTTCTCAGATTTTTGGGGGGTTCCAAATACCAAAAAACCCTAAAACTGTAAATGTGTTAGTTCATATAACTGGCTCACTGTAGGGTCTGATATGAATGTCTTACAGATTCTTTAAGTGGGTATCTCTAAGTTTCTATCAAGAACCAGGTTGCTTTTTCTAGAGGCTAATTCAGACTAAGTATTAACAAAGAGCGTAGGGGCGAGAGTCTACCAGGAACACATGAATGTGTTTGGTGGGTGTTTCAAAATAATTGTCAACATTTCTTTTTGTGCTTTCAAAATAAGGTGAGTGTTTGGAAGATATTAAGAAAGCCCAAGTCTGATTAGAGAATTGGTTTGACCATCAGCCTAATGATGAGAGAGCACAGCAACAGAAAAGTGGAAGGAAAGGAGGAATGGGCAGATACTGGCAGGAGGGAGGAGGGGATATACTTTAGGGAAGGAAGAGTGGGGGAGAAAAATGAGGCTGAAATAAAGTGAAAGATGGCTTTGTTTACCAAAAATGCCCTCTGTCAGTCATGGAACAGAATAGACAAAGAAAAAAAAAAAGAAAAGAAAAAAAAGAGAGAAAAGAATGAAATAGTGAAAGACTGATAAACGGTCAACCACAGAGAATAAAACTGTATATTACTTTATATATAAATATATATAGTGAGAAAGATATATGTACAGCAAATTACCTTCCAGAACACAAATCAAAGTGAACAAGCCAGTAAGAGCAAGAAGAGTTCATTGCGGCTATCGGTGACACCCCAAATTACACCTATTCCTCCTTTTCCAGAATCCCTATGGGGTCTAACACTAGCAAAAGGAGTTGTGGTTTTGTGTGTGTACTGAAGGGAGGAGAGGTAGGTGTACAAGGTAAGAATGTAGAAACAACCAACCAGATAACCTTTTACTTGTCAAAATGTAATTGGGATCCCAACAGATTCAAGTACATTCACACAGTCCTGGCAGTATGTGTGACTTCATGTATATGCAGTTCTGGGGGTAGTGTACAAAGTCTTGTATTAACAATGTATTAATCAGAGTTTAAAACCCTGCAAAACCAAATTATAATTGATGTATTAAAGACAGCCCAAACCTTCACTTCTACATAAATGCTTAACAGGACCTGGACTTCATTGCCGTTCAATCTACAGGAGTTGTTTGCAATGACAGAGAATATAAAAGTCCCAGTTTTATCCCTAGGGTTTTGGAAAGTACAACTCTAAGAACAATTAGACTCTACTGGGGGAAAAAAACAACAAACTGGTTCCTCTGGTGGAAAAACAAGTAGAAAAAGTTCTTAGACTCCAGAGCAACGTGTGGTCAGAATGTGGCTATATGTGGACTTGTTGTTGTGTCTGATGAAGCAAAGCCGTGGTTTGAGCAAGGTCCAAGGGTTGGCAGTGAACACACTTTTTGCTGATCTCCCAGGCACTTCCCATTGGTAGGTTAATTGATGATATAATGTCTTCTATGAATGGTGAAAAATCTTCATTAGAGCTAGTTGATACTGCTGTTGACAAACAGGCCTCATCTTATTGGAGGCGTTTTGGCTACTCAATGGCCCCCAACTTAGTGGATGAAGTTGGTCCTAGAGGTTAAGTCTGAGTCTTGAAGATTCCAGTTGATACTCAGGTACAAAAGACCCAAACCTGACTAGGTCTCAAGTCTACTCTAACTGGGTTGGGAGGGATCTTGTTTGTGTGTCAGTTTGATCAATGCCACAGGGTTCCTTTCAGCTCACAAAAGGTACTATTCTTTTATTTATAGTTTGCAGGAGGTGGAAACAAGAGCTTTAGTGATTAGCAAAGTTCTTAGAAAGGCAAAGGCTTTTAAGAAAGACCTCTCTAAGAAATTTTCACATTACACAACGTGATATTTTGTCTTTTATGGGTTGCATTTGATCATTTATGAACAGATTTCCTTGTTTACATTTTGACAAGTCGTTGTGTTAGCTGGTAGTTAACACACTGAGTGGGTACAGGGGGTTGTTGTGGAGAACATGCACCGTGTTCCACACTCAGAAATATCATGCTTCATCCATTCCAAAAATAGAGAACACTGTTATTGCTGGACGCTCTCAAACACCATCAACCTTCAAACACCATGCTCCAGCCTTCTTTCTCACATCAGTCATTGTCTGACCAAAGTGCAGTGACATACAGCAACTCTTAAAACCAGATGAGAGATGAAAATAATCGTCATTGCTGCAAATCATAAAAGGTTTCAAGGGCCTACATTTGTTTTCTAGGTCATTTTACAGATTTCCGGTTTGGCTACGGAATGAAAACTTGCTTTCCAGCACAGGATCCGAGTCAACCTACCTTCTGCCACACCCCATGGGTACTGACGACCTCTGACCTTCTTGCCGTTCACTTCAATAACGACATTGCTGCCAACCACTGCCAGCGGCATTTTTTCCTGGAGAACAAACAAGTTGAGCATTGTTTTAGTTCAGGGCCCTTTCTCAATTCTAAGTAGGCAAGTACGTACTTGCGTTCTCGGCGAGACCGGACTTGCCGAGACCGCACGGGAGTACGGACTTGCCGAGAACGCGAGCACAGACTCGCGATTTATACAATTGGAACACTAGCGTTCTTGATGACGTCACAGGTCCGGAGTTTTTACTGCCGTCCCCTCTTAATTTAACTGTGATTAATATGTTATGAAGCTTAACTTTAATCACAGCCAAACCAATTTACTCAGGAACAAATAAAACACTGAAATAAACCAAACATTAACATTTAGAAGTGATCTAAGTGACTTATATATCATGTTTAACCTCAGTAGCGAAATCTCTATTAATAAAAATAGTGTACATGTATGTCTTAATACAATAGACAGCTGCTGGGGTTTGTTTAACCCGAGTAGCAAAAAGACCGTGGGGGGTTTGAAAACGATGTGCCGGGTAGGGATGGGTATTGATAAGATTTTCACGATTCAGATTCCATTTTCGATTCTTTTTAACGATTCGATTCATTATTGATTCTCTTATCGATTCTTATTTTTAAAAAAGAGAACACTAAGGTCGATTAGCTTAGAACTTTGTTTTATATCTTCTCTTTGAACATCCTCCATCCTCTAGCTTCACTGTCCTAATGTTATGCTAACATAGCTGTGTCGCTAGCAATCACGTAGCACAACATTATATACACCAGGTAGTCCAACTTCAGTAACCCTACAAACGTCACTGCTGTTTAGTTTTCTGTCTTCATTTATGTTGGAAGTGGTAGCAGTTAGAATTAGTTTCAAAAATCTCTCAATCAGAACATGGCATGTCATGTTTAGGTGGAAACTAGCGAGCTAACTTCCTGTTAACTTCTAACTCCGTTAAATTGAATAACTTCTTTTCATGGATGCATGGATGTTAAACTTAATTGTTACACCTGCTAAAGCAGCAACGCTGATGATTTTATTAAAGGTGAAAGAATTTAGACCGTTTTTAACTCTTAGTGTTCGTTTGACTTTGGGACCTGAAGCAGACGGAGTTTTGGACCCAGATTACTCCGCGAAGTTCCTCACTACGGCAGCCGTAATACTGTGACAATCCATCAAAACATTATTTAAACAGATTTCTGCACGCCAAAATGGTTTGAGGTCAGTAAGCACAACCAGAATTCATACATAAGGCACACTCTTGATTTTTGAGAAAATTAAAGGATTTTAAGTGTGCCTTATAGTGTGGAAAATACGTTATACAGAAGCAAAGAATATATCGCGATATATATCGTTACCGCACATGCTTCAAATTATATCGCGATATGGATTTTAGGCCATATCGCCCAGCCCTACTACAAATAAAGAGAATAAATTTGCCATAAAGGAATATAAGTGAAATTTAGCTTTAAAGCTGGTGTGACTTCACATCTAACTGTTGTAACGAGTCAGGTGCGTTTCCCGCCGAACAGCAAGCATCAACACTCACTGAAGCTTTAGTGGTCACCTTCATCACATTCATACTTCTGTCAAGTTTTCATTCTTTTTCACTGTGATCATTATATCATCTCATTTTGTCAAAGTCATCAGTCAAAAGTGGAGAAATGATCAGCAAAACCATAAGGACCTATTTTCTAACATTTACATAATTAATATGCATTTTCTGTTGACACGTTTTCCCAAAAGTCAGCTAGCGTATCTCAAAACTGTAATGAAAATCTAAAAGCCAATGCAGGAACCGGCTAGCTATCATCTGCTGATGTGTCAGAATTTGTCTGGAGGCAATGGTCAGTGTTTCCAGACTTGCTGGCAAAGGTTTATAATGCAAATATAAAGCCAAACTGTTTCCAGACAAACTGTTGGTGTCAAAATTGCATTTTAGCAAACTCTTTTGTCGATTTGCTTTCCACATGGACCATTTGACGCTTAGAAACAAAAGTCTGCTCAAACACAACAGTTTTTGGATGACAAATGGAAACCAGGAAGCATCCGGTACCAGAAATCTCACTTCTTATTTACCTTTTCTGTATATTCATATATGCATGACAACAGTGACTGCGTCAGGGAGTTATGTGCATGACAGTCACCAAAGTTCATCAGTCTGTCTTTAAATCTGATGAGCAGTTATTCAATCAGCCTTATAAGTGAGATAGCAGCAGCTATATGTGGACCTTGAACAAAGGACACACCGATCTTTGGTTGTCCCTGCGGAGATCAATCGGAAAACCCTGAGTCAAGCTTGAAAAGAACTGCATCCTTCATTACCTTGATCTTCCGGACCAGCTTATTGTCCTCATCCTCGTCTACATCTGGAAACTCGTATATTTTAATCTTGTGCTCTTGAATCTCTTTCATAATCTGAAGAGAGAAAGTGATCAGTTACCAACAGATCTGCATACACAGAGCTAAGATATCACATTAGCTTCACTTGTATTGGGTGTACGATACACAATGTTGCTTAGTTTAACATTACTGAATGGAAGGAGGCCCAAATGTATGCATGCCACTGTATGTGCTGCTTGTAGAAAGTAAAGATGATGGCACATATGCAACAGCTCAGTTTCTCAGTATGCCTTAGTTAGCACCTTTAATGTGACACAAATGTGCAGAAATACCTGTTTTTTAAAAAGATGGCACTCCTCAGGCGTCAGTGTGTCAGCCTTTGCGATGAGAGGTATGACATTGACTTTATCATGGAGCCTTTTCATAAATTCTATATCAAGAGGTTTTAGGCTGAAGAGGAGACAGAGAAGGAAAAGCATGAGGAGGACAGATAGCTACTGGCTGAGGATGCTCATCATGTGCTGAGTGAATAAACCATTTTCCTTTGAAGACTGAGTTAGAGAAATATTTGCTTCGTCCCTTTGCATGCTGGATTTCTCTTTACTCTCAGAGGCTGAATATCTACAGACTAAGACAGGGGTAGGCAACTCCAGGCCTCGAGAGCCGGTGTCCTGCAGGTTTTATATGTGTCCTTGATCCAACACAGCTCATTTAAATGGCTAAATTAGCTCCTCAACATGTCTTGAAGTTCTCCAGAGGTCTGGTAATGAACTAATCATTTGATTCAGGTGTGGTGACCCAGGGTGAGATCTAAAACCTGCAGGACACTGGCTCTCGAGGACTAATGTTCCCTATCCCTGGACTAAGACTAGAGGATGGAAAAAAAATGCTAAAATACAGCATCCATGAAACTGTACAGGGAGTGCAGAATTATTAGGCAAATGAGTATTTTGTCCACATCATCCTCTTCATGCATGTTGTCTTACTCCAAGCTGTATAGGCTCGAAAGCCTACTACCAATTAAGCATATTAGGTGATGTGCATCTCTGTAATGAGAAGGGGTGTGGTCTAATGACATCAACACATTATATCAGGTGTGCATAATTATTAGGCAACGTCCTTTCCTTTGGCAAAATGGGTCAAAAGAAGGACTTGACAGGCTCAGAAAAGTCAAAAATAGTGAGATATCTTGCAGAGGGATGCAGCAGTCTCAAAATTGCAAAGCTTCTGAAGCGTGATCATCGAACAATCAAGTGTTTCATTCAAAATAATCAACAGGGTCACAAGAAGCGTGTGGAAAAACCAAGGCACAAAATAACTGCCCATGAACTGAGAAAAGTCAAGCGTGCAGCTGCCAAGATGCCACTTGCCACCAGTTTGGCCATATTTCAAAGCTGCAACATCACTGGAGTGCCCAAAAGCACAAGGTGTGCAATACTCAGAGACATGGCCAAGGTAAGAAAGGCTGAAAGACGACCACCACTGAACAAGACACACAAGCTGAAACGTCAAGACTGGGCCAAGAAATATCTCAAGACTGGTTTTTCTAAGGTTTTATGGACTGATGAAATGAGAGTGAATCTTGATGGGCCAGATGGATGGGCCCGTGGCTGGATTGGTAAAGGGCAGAGAGCTCCAGTCCGACTCAGACGCCAGCAAGGTGGAGGTGCAGTACTGGTTTGGGCTGGTATCATCAAAGATGAGCTTGTGGGGCCTTTTCGGGTTGAGGATGGAGTCAAGCTCAACTCCCAGTCCTACTGCCAGTTTCTGGAAGACACCTTCTTCAAGCAGTGGTACAGGAAGAAGTCTGCATCCTTCAAGAAAAACATGATTCTCATGCAGGACAATGCTCCATCACACGCGTCCAAGTACTCCACAGCGTGGCTGGCAAGAAAGGGTCTGAAAGAAGAAAAACTAATGACATGGCCTCCTTGTTCACCTGATCTGAACCCCATTGAGAACCTGTGGTCCATCATCAAATGTGAGATTTACAAGGAGGGAAAACAGTACACCTCTCTGAACAGTGTCTGGGAGGCTGTGGTTGCTGCTGCACGCAATGTTGATGGTGAACAGATCAAAACACTGACAGAATCCATGGATGGCAGGCTTTTGAGTGTCCTTGCAAAGAAAGGTGGCTATATTGGTCGCTGATTTGTTTTTGTTTTGTTTTTGAATGTCAGAAATGTATATTTGTGAATGTGGAGATGTTATATTGGTTTCACTGGTAAAAATAAATAATTGAAATGGGTATATATTTGTTTTAGGTATTTAGTATTTATTTATTTATTGTCATTGTCAAGAACAATGAAATTGCGTTTGGGGCTTCCATACAACCCACCAAAAAAGAAGAAAATAATAAATACCCCTTAAAACCCAAGTGTACATATTTAACCCAGTGTGACTCCAATGCAATAAGACAATCCTTAGCAATAATGTTCGTAGAAATTCAGACAAAGACCTGAGAAACATGACAAAATACAACAATGCAACCCATTCAATATTATTGTACTGTGAGATATGATATCAGATATGATAGTTATCTATTTAAGAAAGAGGGGGGGGGCAGGAGGGGGAAGAGAATAAAGATATGATGCACCAATGCAGACCAGTTCATTGCTATTAAGAAGTTGGATATGGTTATTGTCCGTGAGAGGGGGGCAGAGAGTTCAGGAGCCTCACAGCCTGTGGATACAGGCTGTTGGCCAGTCTGGATGTTCTGGCCTGTATAGACCTGTACCTTCTCCCTGAGGGCAGCAGATGGAAAAGGTGGCGCGCAGGGTGATGTTGGTCCCGCAGGATACTGTGCACCCTCCTCAGACAGCGAGTGGGGAAGATATTACTGATCTCTGGCAGACTTGTTCCAATAATTCTGCCAGCTTCCTTCACCACCCGCTGGAGTGCTTGCTGATCGGCCTTGGTGCAGCTGGGGAACCACACTAGAAATCCATACGTCAGAACGCTGCTGATGGCACAGTTGTAGAAGTTCAACATCAGAGATCTGGGAATGTGTGCGCTCCGCAGTCTCCTCAGGTAGTAGAGGCGCTGTTGGGCCTTCCGTACAACTGAGGTGATATGGTTGCCCCAGGACAGGTCCTCGGTCACAGTTACCCCCAAGAATTTAAAACTGCTCACCCTCTCCACCGCCTCACTGCCAATGAAGAGAGGCAGATGGTTGTTATGACCCCTCTTCCGGAAATCTACAATGATCTCCTTGGTCTTTTTGGTGTTTAAGACCAAGTTATTGTCGTGGCACCATGACTCTAGTTGTTGCACCTCTGTCCTATAGTTTGTCTCATCATTGTTGGATATAAGTCCGAGCACTGTAGTGTCATCTGCAAACTTAACAATGAGATTGGACGCGCAGGAGGAAATACAGTCATGAGTGAAGAGAGTGTATAGCAGAGGGCTCAGAACACACCCCTGAGGGGCACCGGTGTTGACCACAAGGGTGGAAGAGGTGTTCTTACCCACTCTGACACTCTGTCTACGGTTAGTGAGGAAGTCCACAATCCAGTTGCACAGAGAGGAGTTAAGTCCCAGTTGGTGGAGTTTGGGACGGAGTTTGTATGGCCGGATGGTATTAAAAGCCGAGCTGTAGTCTACAAAGAGGAGCCGTGCATAGGTGTTCCTGTGTTCCAAGTGCTTCAGTAATGTGTGCAGCACTGTGGCGATCGCATCCTCGGTTGACCGGTTCTTCCTGTATGCAAACTGGTGCGAGTCCAGGGATGGTGGAAAAGCAGCTCTGATGTGTTTAATGACCAGTCTCTCCAGGCATTTGGCGGGAATGGGGGTGAGTGCCACAGGTCTGAAATCGTTCAGACATGTGACATTTGACTGTTTTGGGATGGGAACGATGGTTGCTGCCTTGAAACATGATGGTACCAGTGAACAGGACAACGAGGTGTTATATATAGAGGTGAAGACGTCCGCCAGGTCCGCAGCACAGTCTTTTAGCACCCGGCCCAGCACTCCATCCGGCCCGGCCGCCTTCCTGGTGTTAATGCTCCGGAACACACGCCTCAGCTCATGAGTGCTCAGGACCGGAGCAGGGTCGGTTGAGGGGAGAGGGGACAGGACAGGGTCGGTGTTCTCCCTGTCAAAACGGGCATAAAAGAGATTTAGATCCTCAGCCAGAGTAGAACTGTCGGCTGAGGGTGATGGTGTTCGTCTTTTGTAGTCCGTGATAGCCCTGATGCCCTCCCAGACCTGCCTTGGGTTTGTGTTGTTCTCAAACCTGGCCTCGATACGCCTCCTGTGCTGCTGCTTGGCAGTCTTGATGCCTCTTCTCAGGTTGGCCCTGGCAGCACTGTATGCCTCCTGGTCCCCGGATTTGAAAGCGTTGTTCCTTGTTCGAATAAGTTGTTGAACTCCGTGTGTCATCCAGGGTGGATTATTAGGGAACACACGGAATCGTTTCCAAGTTGTTACATTGTCCACACAGAAACAGATGTAGTCCAAGACAGTGGAGGTGTAACTGTCCAATGCGACACGATTGTCAGTGTCCTGCACCTTGAATACATCCCAGTCTGTGCAGTGGAAACAGTCCTGAAGCATCGGAATAGCATCCTGCGGCCATGTTCTCACGGTTTTGGTTGTAATCCCAGTGCTCTTGATCTTTTGTGTGTATATTGGGTGTAGCAGAAGGGAGAGATGGTCTGACAGACCCAGGTGGGGATAAGCCTGGGCTCTGTACGCATTCGCCATGTTGGTGTACACCTGGTCCAACGTTCTATCTCCTCTGGTAGCACACTTCACATTACGGTGGAAATTGTGAAGTACAGATTTCAGGTCCGCGTGGTTAAAATCCCCAGCCGCAATAAAGACACTGTCCGGGTGTGCTACCAGGCTGTTATTGATGCTGCTGCTCAATTGTGCTAACGCTAGCTTAGCATTAGCATCTGGTGGAATGTAAACAGCGCAGATGTAAACGGCAGAAAATTCCCGAGGGAGATAGAATGGTTTTTTGTTAAGTTGCCTAATAATTATGCACAGTAATAGTCACCTGCACACACAGATATCCCCCTAAAATAGCTAAAACTAAAAACTAAAAACTACTTCCAAAAACATTCAGCTTTGATATTAATGAGTTTTTTGGGTTCATTGAGAACATGGTTGTTGTTGTTGTTCAATAATAAAATTATTCCTCAAAAATACAACTTGCCTAATAATTCTGCACTCCCTGTAAATTATATACAGTTCATTGGGGCTGATGTGTCAGTTCATGAAGCTGTGGTTGAATAGCATTACATTATTTTAAGTGGGTCAGCAGCTGTATTTGGCTGCGTGACTCACCACATGAATGAGGAATCAACTCACAAGACTGAATCTAAAGAAAATACCACAGTGTGCCTCTTTAGTTCAGAGCAGTTCAGTGGGTCACCAGCAGAGGGCCACACAAAACTGTACAATACATGTAGCCCACAGCAAGTGACTGTCAGGGAGCCACAGGGTCTTCACCTCTGAATGCCAAGCTGTGCGGGCACACAGTCAGTCCTAACAGAACAAACTACATTTGTATTATCAGCTGTTGGAGTGGAAGATTTTCTTGTTTTTTTGCCATTTTCTGAATGTAAATTCAAAATGGCGACCGTCCTCGACACTCTCAGTTGCCGGTGCAGTGACTTGTGTTAGAGATGTTGGACAAATTTTCAGCCAAAATCCTAAAGGATGTGCACTTGTCCTCTCTGCTGCAGCCTCTACTCTTCCTCAGTGAGCAACACCAGAAAACACTTACTTAGAAAGCAAGTCCACTACTCAGTACTGCCAACAACTGACCGGAACAACAGAGTCCAATACAATCCTCTCATGAGGACAACAAAACAAACACTGCGATGGCTTCAGAGTCTACTTTGTTGTCATTTTACATTTAAGTATACAATATAAACACTGTTGTAATAGTTCTTGTACAATGTACATGACATACAATAGAAGTCAGATTAAAATAGAGAAGCCAAATGCTTCCAGGCTACCACAGTAGAAATGCATTCAAGGTGACCATTAGAATCCACTCCTCATGCTACAGAGTCCATAACCTTGATCCTTCTGAGGCCCCCTTTCCAAAATATAGCTGGGAAATACCTTATGTGAAATTCCTAATCACATCACAAACATTGAGGGTCTGTCGTGAATGCAGTAATCATTAATTTTTCCTTTTCTCTCTCAGTTTGTTTACAATGTTAGCTGTCAGCCCACTACATCAGTGTTCCAGTGGACTGATAGTAAATTAATGGAGTATAATACTAAATAGCCCCCTGTATAATGTGCAGGTTAAAGGCTCATTATGTAGTTTAACCTTTCTGGGGAAAACTATTCAACGTAAAATAGAATCACACACAATAAGTTTAGCATTGCATTCAAAACTATAATACAGTTATTATTCTGCCAGCTCAATGGATTACCACTGTCTACATGAAAGCACTTTATATATCTGCAAATGCTTTTTGCTGCGTGTTGAGTTGAATTAGTTGTCCCATGAAAGAGGCCAGCAAAACAGCTGCTGGGCGGCTCAGCGAGTGAGGACAGCTTTGGATATAATGCTGCTGCACCAGAGGAGAGCTGGAGTGAAGGCAGCCCCAGATAACACTGGAGTCAGAGTGTCTGGTTAGAGCAGGAGACTCGAAGGGCATTTCGGTGAAGTCAAAATCCGAAATCTCCCACACACTGACACCGATTAATCAAACCAGCATGAGCGGCACTTTGTCTACAGAAAGCTGGACTCACTGTCAGAACTCTTGTAGTTACTCCGGGGAACTAAAACATCACAGAGAGGACAGGTCTGGAAATAAGTATGCAGTTTACTTCTAAAGCAGGATTTATAGGATTTCACATTTTACAGCCACATGTGAGTGACTTTTGGAGGCAGCAGTGTGGAAACGGGCCTTCTGGAGCTTGTTGCAGATCATTTAAAAGTGGTAAAGAGTCTGCTGGAAATGTAGGCAGATTCCTCTGGGGTGACAGTAAAAGCGTAATTAAGTGATGCATCTTCTCAGTGAAGTGGACAATTTACTGACTTGTCTCTGACTTTAAACTTAGAACACTGCTCAAAGAATACAAGAAGCTGTGGTGTGGCAGAACCATTTATGTTGTAAAATTCACATGTTAAAATCTGATCTGTTATTGATGATAAACAAACTGCAGCAGTTGTTTAACAAAGAAAACCAAAATGTGCGTCTCCAGTTGCAGGATGACCTGTCGTTTGCTCAACCATGTACTAATGCTTGTTTCTCGATGGTTAGGAGAAAAGCATAAAGCATCCACCGTTTTCTTTATGTTGGAGGCAGCAGGAACAGAATACCTGAACAGACCGTTTTGTGCATGATTACACTTTAAGGGGAGAGATAAGACCGGCTTATTTAACATTTAATGAACTTTTCAACTGCTTGTGTGCTTTTCTCATAATTCAAGAAAGATTGTCATTTCTGTCGGGAGTAAATTATACCTGGAACATGTGTTGTGGGGCCTCCATATCCTTCCTTCTGTATAACTGTAAAACCAAAGGATACAGTAGCAGGAAGGCCCCAGCACAGAATAGAGCTGGCATTAATGATAATAATATGACACTGATTTAGACAGAAACCATGTGAAATGTGGTCCTGAGGTGAAGTTGGGTTCTAAATTGCTTGCTGAACAACTAAAACAACAGGTAAAGCAGCCTCAACATAAAAACCCATGTGAGACTTGCCCATCTGATGTCTAGAAGGGAATCCGCTGAGCCTTCAGCTGATGTAGGATGGCACAAATTGCAGCTGATCTGACAAGTGAGCCCGACTTTGCTGGATGATCGATTGAAGACTGTTTATTTTCATAGACAGGTTTCCTGTCTTTGTCACTGCCTCAATGCAGTTAAGGTGCATCATGGAGGCACTTAAAGCTGAGCTAAAATGATCAGAAAATGTCAGAGTGTGTTTTGACATTCACAGACAGCAACATGTTTCACACATTTTATGCTTTGGGCTGCTGAAATATTTAACAAATTAGTGTTATTTTAAACACACTGCATGCCAATCAACTCTGCAGGTTTAGATCCATCGCCAAAGCCTGAGAGGTGCGCGCACACACACGGACGCTAACGTAAGACAGTATGGCACGTCTGAGTTGAAAGCGCTGTTCCTGGGAGCTGCTGCGAGTCTCCACTCTGAGTGATTCAGTGATGGAGATCAGGAAACTCTACTGAGCATGAGCAGAACTGGTTTGTATGTGGGTCACAAATACTGGCTGGCAGGCTCCTCTTTTATGAGACAGACAGACACTCAAGTACATCCTTTCCAGTTATATGCAGACAGCATCACTGCCACCTTTCGAACATTTCATGTCTCTTAATTACATCTGCATCTTATTATATCATCTTATGCAGCACCCACCCGTGTCCAGATGGTGCTATAAAATATAGACAGCAGTGGACTCTGTTGTCCGGCATGGACCTGCGGTTGACCCTCGACTCAGCATTCAGGAAGTCCTCGCATTTGCTGTCAATGTAATTAATGACAGGCTGCCAGCTGGGAACATGGAAAGATGATGTCAGAGAGAGTGCACTGTACAACAAAGAGCATATGATTGCTTGGTAGAATCAAATTGTGCATGTCTTCGTGGGCAATCCTCACCAGTTGCTGTTGTCGACTGCATCGCCAAACCCTGGTGTGTCCACGATGGTTAGGGTTAGTTGGACTCCTCCCTCCTTTATCAAAACTTTACTCTGTTCCACCTGAAACACAAACATTCACACCCTTCAGAACTCTTGGGATCTGAGCCTTGCCTTACAGTATTTATAAAGTGTTTCCATTAGCTGCAATAACTTCACACTTTCAAAATATAATTTGACAGCATGTATCTGCCCACACATGTTGGACTACATACACTGCACAGCAGGTCCTCCCACACAGCCGAAACCGATCTGCTGGTTGAGTGTGTGTATAATACGAGTGAAGTTCTTTTCCTTCCTCTCAGCACTGTGTGTGTGTGTGTGTGTGTGTGTCAACTTAAGTCAAAACCACTGTCTTCCAAAGAAGAGTTCGATTTCCATGGAGGCAATGAGAGCAGCTGCACGACCCAGCACAGAACAAAACAGACATCAGTGACAGCAGATTATGACAGTGGTTCAGCGAGATACGGCGTGAAAGGACCTGGGTGATGATGGGTTGTAAAGAGGCTTGCACATACGCAACAACTGTGGGCATGCTGAACATGAAGAGTAGTGTCAAAAGAATGTGTAAAAATGTACCATCTGAGCCTTCAGCTTCTATGTGCTGGCATCGAGATCAGCTGATTACAGCTAAACTGGTCCTTGAAGTGTGCCTGAACTTTACTACACTCAAATTCCTTACTGTGCATGGTATCAGTTCCATTGAAAACAGCACCTCAATGAAACTGCAACTCTAAGGTTTGCGCACAGTTTAAAGGGGAGCTCAGAGTTCGGCAACTGCCCAGCACACGTTGGCATTCTAAACCAACTTAAACAGAGCACCCAATGTGCGATTTGCCAATAGGCTGTGTGTGTCACTTACGTCAGCTGATCTGCCACTGAATGTGACTTAGTGAATCCTGTCAATAAATGTAAAGTAAAACAAATACAGCAGAGTTCCCATTTGTCTTAATAGTTAAACATGGTTAAAAATAGCATGGGGGTATTTTTAAGCTGAGCCAAAAGGTGATTTTATGATAGAAATAATATTTATTACACATACTGGAGAGTCCAGCAGATGATAAAGGCGTTTAGACTTTTCTTCTCCCATCTTTACATCCACTCTAGCATGCCATGAGTGCATATGTCACTGTATGAAAGCCTTTTTACACAACAGCCATGTATGCACACTGAGTTTGGGTGTTCACTCAATGCAGCTGATTTTAATTTAATGTTTAATTACATATGCCAAAAAGTGAAGCCATCACTGCAAACTGTTCATCATAGTCTGCAGTCACATACGTTCCCATTCAGTCCCAGAGATCCATCCATTTCCTGAAGCTCGCCAGCTGTTCCCCCACTTCGTCGCATAGTTTCACAGGACCATGTAGTTATTTTAGGATCGCCCCTTTAAGTCAAACTACAGCCCTCTCACTGTAACACAAACATTCTTTAGCTTCCACAAACCTTCAGATAATCTGTCTGGTTTTACAGCTGACCATATATACATAAATATATATATATTTTTTACACATCTGACCTTAATTGTGCAGCCAGGCATGTGTGTTAAATCTGTGTCTGTATTGTAAGTGTTTGCGCATGACATGTCAGCCCTTCTCAAAACCAAATCTGCCATTTCCACTGTTTCTGTGAAGAAAAACAGATTGGGAGAAAACCTCAAAAATGCCGTCGGCCTCAACACCATCATTTAAAAGAAATCTGATCTGTGGGGAATGTGAGCGAGCGACAAAACATGGGAGATTGTTCTGCAATATAAATACTCTGACCCGGTCTCTCCCCCTCAGCCTCAGACCACAGCGGCTCCTTTCCAACGTATGCACACTAACTGCTGCTTGGAGGAGAGCCTGCTTGCCCACGTTGCGCTCATGGGGCTCACATGAGGTATGATGAGCGCAATAGAGTGAGAGAAAGCTTGAAGCAAAAGGTTCTTAATGTTTTCAGTCTCGTCAAAACAGAGTAAATTTAGCACCGCCTTGGTGCGTCGTCTGGATCACAACAGACCTGCACAAAGATGCAGAATCACAGCTGCCTGAGCGGCTCCTGTCATTTATAATTTAGGCCAAGTGTGCAGTACAATCGAACGTCACAAAATGAACAGGACTTTCAAATTGATGCAGTGGAGAAATTTAAACCTAATGAGGAAATGAAAAGAGTCTGCAAACTTTAAAGAAAAGAAGCTGAAAATACACAGCGCTTTGACTGAACGATTGTCAGTTTGTAAAGAATACAGGACAGATTTAGAAGTGTAGATACTGAGATTTTTACTTACTTTAATTTGAAATAGCAAACCATCTCAGAGTTTGTTCAGTTTCCCAGACTATAGTATGTATTATAGATGCATTGCAAACCCAAAATAGTGTTGATACTGGAACATACAGATTTCAGATCTGAAGTCTGTATCTTACTGCGAGTCTGCCTTTGACTTCATACATAAAATGCAGAGGTTTAAATGGGTTTACTCAAGAGACTGAGAGCTGACCCAAGGACTCACAGATCTCAGGTCTGTTTTCTAATAAGTGTAAAAAGTGACTGGATCATCCTGCCATATTTTATGAATAGCACCGTCTTGACTAAATTCGGTGTGACGTATCAGTGACTTCCTACAAAAAACTACTTCCTCTATAACAGGGGTGGGCAACTCCAGGCCTCGAGGGCCGGTGTCCCTGCAGGTTTTAGATGTGTCCCCCGAACCAACACAGCTGATTTAAATGGCTAAATTAGCTCCTCAACATGTCCTGAAGTTCTCCAGAGGCCTGGTAACGAACTAATCATGTGATTCAGGTGTGTTGACCCAAGGTGAGATCTAAAACCTGCAGAACACCGGCCCCTGGGGCCTGGAATTGCCCACCCCTGCTCTATAACATAAGGCACCTCTATGCACCTCGGTCTGAATGGAACAACATTGTTATTTTAGGTTCAGAGACATAAGTTTAACTTGAGATTATATTTGGACATCTTTGGCACTCAGTCATCTCCGTTTTGCCAGATAAATTTGGTTGGTTATCTCTAGCTGCACTCCATGCTGCATTGAACTAAAAAAAAGGAATGAGTAACTTGGCATTATAAAGCATTAAAATTTGCCAAAGGCTAAAAGTCAACATCAACTTAAGTCCAGTTTAATAATTATTGTTTAATGGTAAATGCACAAAAATCTATTTTCTGGTTCAGAGATTGTCTATACCCGTCCTGATCCACAGCCTTGACTTGCGTACCTCCTTGCATTTAGACAACATTTGACATAATGTGCTCATTTGTTACGAGTTTTGGAGAGCAAAACCTTCTGTGACCAGGACGACTATCAGAGTCAAAGTCAGATATAAAGATACCTTAGCCTTCTCCATCTTGGAATATATGGCTTACGGTTAGCTTACTGTGAGTTAACAGGTCCCTATTTTCCAAAATGCTGCCGAGTCTGTGCCTTTGGCAAAGTAAAACATCTGCTATCCAACTGTGTTTGCTTTTAATCCTGACTTTTCCAACCTTTTGCTTCATTCCTTCCCATGCACTTCCTGTCTGTCTTCACTTTCATCATCCACCAAAGGCTTCACACAACTACACCAACTGCCACTTCATGGGGACTTTTTCTTCTGCAGATGGTGCTAGCTAACGTACATTGGAATGATACAATAGTGTTCACCTACACTGATTTTAAAAAAAAAGTCCAAAGACGGTAAAGCGAAAACGGCGGTTAACTTGTCTCAATTAACATTTTAACCTCTCTCACCCACTCAGCTGCCAGCCACCCATTTAGAGTTGTAAATGTTAAGTTCACATTAATCCCAGTATATGGAATTTTCCCCTATGACATACCTATATGGAAATCTTAAGACTTCATAAGTAATATGGTAGTGGGAATCGAATTATAGTGCAAAGCGGCGTGTGGAGATGACTTCTCATCTTTTAAGTAGTGGTTGAGGGTGGGGTGGGAGGGTGTTACATTTCATGGGAACATTCCTGCCCTGCTATTGACCCTCTCAGACCCAAGGGGGAAATTCAGCCCTGATCCTCTGTTTTTCTTTGTCTCTCCCCTCATCACATCTACCCCATCACCCTCCTCGAGGTTTATATGCTCTTTAGTTTTACAAAGCTCCACCTTTTCCTCACTCATCGCCATGTTGCTTCTGTCCGTCTTCTCCTGCCACCACCATCTCATCTCTTTCCGTCTTAGTTCATCACACTGTCCCACATCTCCATCTTCTGCTTTTTCCTCTTTCCCAAACTGCTTCTCCTTTGCCCCTTTTACTCCAGACACAGTCTCCCTCCTCCACTTCAATTTGCCATTACCATAAAAGGACAAAACTAGGTCCAGTGGCGTTGTTGTTTGCCTCGTAGTTCCTCCATCCTGCATTCTCCTTTTCCATTATACTCTCTTCCTCCCCAGCAGAATCCTGCTCCCCTCTTAGCCTTCCATCCCTACTAACATGTCAATTTTAACAAACCTGGCTGATAATGCAGGAGCAAGAAAAGCCTTCAGAATGACCAGACCAGATGTTCTCAATTAATTTGTCAGAAAACATGAAACTTCATCCCTTTCAGTGCCTGTGCTTATCTGTCATGTTTTTCTTTTTTTTTTTTTACTGAAGACACCAGTTAAGACTTTGAACGTGCTGGTGCAAAAAAAAAGTCAACTCTTGGATTTAATAACTGGTCTAACGTCTACATATACGGGATGTGTTTAAGCTCAGATTAGAGATTTGAGCTTTTCAACAACTCTTGAGGAAATTTCAACATCATCCAAAACGGCACAACTTTTACTTTGTAGGTGAACATTCAACCTGCATTCCATCAAGTTTAACTGTACCTGACTTTTTTTCTTTACACTTTATAGTTCAGGTTGGCCTCACACACCGAGGTAGAGTTTGCAAACACTGAGACCTAACCACGAGCTCCACAAGGGTCTTTGAACTGCTCACCAAAACAACTACCAAATTCAAATAGTTTCCCCCTCACGCTCAAGTACACTTTTTGTTGGCCAGAATGAATGAGAATACTTTCAGGGGCTCCTAACATATGGTGTGGTCACACTGATGCTTACTTTTAACACCCAGAAATCATCATTTTTCCGAGGGAATGAGTACTACGTGAAGAATTTGTTTTTAGATATTAGGAGATATCACTGACACTGGAATGTAAATGACAAAATGCCTTGAGCAACGGCTGTGGGAGGACTTAAAATGTCTCCATTAACAAGGTTATTTTCCTTCAAACTGGCTTGAGAAACAACACTTTCTTGTAAGACATCTGTTCATTTCATGGTTTCCTAATCCTCATCCCAGTATTTGCTGTCGCTGCTGGAATTTAGAACGTAGAAGAAATCGACATCAAGCATCAAACTCTTGCAGGAAAACGGTGAATGGTGATCTCACAGTCTTAGCACATATAGTGCCTTTGTTTATATGACTATCAACTATAAGAAGACATGGGGTTGTACAGAGACCATTAACAAAAACTCAAAACATCTCTACACTGGACCTGAAGCTAAAAATGAACTGATGGCAACTGAGGTCTGACCCATATAGGGTTAGGGTGAGAATTAACACTACCATGGGTTATTAGGTTATACCTAACCCTGTGTTTAAAAGAAAGTAAAGTACATTTAGTTAAAAAGTATTGTTTTAATGTGCTTTAGTTATAAAACAAAATTCAAAACCCAGAAATCACATGTGATGTAAAGTGTAAAGGAAACAGGGGTTAAGGTTAAGGATGGACCGATCCAATATTACGTATCGGTCCGATACGAACCTAAATTACTGGATCGGATATCTGAGAGAAATAAAAAATGTAATCCGATCCATTAAATATCACAAAAGCACCTCACAAAACTTGTGACATGGCGTAACTCCGCTCATAACTTTAGCACGTCGAGCAGTATGTGTCACATGATAGAGCGGCTGTGGCGTGTGAGACCTCTCAGCGATCTGGTTGAGCATTTGGAGCCTCGCTACCAACCCGGCATTTCATCTCCAAGAAAGTGATCCCAGAGAGAAGTAAAGCAAGTGTGTAAGTTCATCTCTGAATGTTTGTAAAGCATTCCAGCGTTAAGCTTAACAACCGATATATGGAGCGACTGCCTCTCTCCCTCCCTCTCCTGCTGCTACTTCGATCATGAAACTGATCAATGATCGGTTAAGTCTAATATACCCTAGTAAGCAATAGTACTTTTTCCTTTGGGAAGGTACCATCTGTGCAGTCTGCAATTCTGTTGAAGAAAGATGTTGAATCTATTTAATTATTGTAGAAAAATAATTGATTTCTGTGCATTTTTTTAAAATAACGCGTGCATTAAATTAAGGTTGATTACGCCGATAAAGCATCACGAGGCGGACGGTGGTTCCCTGTTTTTATTTTTTTTGCTGGGAGTTTGCAACCCTATTAGTTAGGTTGTTTAATATTTCTGCTAAGTGCTCTTTAAAATACCAGAACAGGGAGGATGGAGGATTTAAGTTTATTAGATTGATCAGTGTTGCTGAACTATGAAATATTTTGGGTGCAGTATATTTTTTGCATACAGGTATAACAGAATAGGTTTAGTGTTTTTGTTTTTTTAAAACTTGAGTATGAATTTATACAAAATGCAGCAAGATATTTAAAAAACTGTTTTATTGATTAAAAATACACTATATCGGATTCATAACGGTATCGGCAGATATCCAAATTTATAATATCGGTCACAAAAAAGTGGTGTTGTGCCATCTATAGTTAAGGTTACAGATCTTGTCATCAATGGTGACCTAGACTTCATAGGATTCATTTACTGGGCAAAAAGCTGAAAAAGCTCACTTGAACAGTCTTTTTAATCCTGTGGGAGGGGCCAGGGTAGTCCTTAGAGTAGAGGTCAGTCAGGAACAGGGAGTTGATGAGAGTCGATTTCCCGAGACCAGACTCACCTGAGGACAAAAGCACAAGTTAAGCAACGTTATATAATCTTACTGTTTTCTAAGTACAACCAGCTGAACACATGACAAAAAGGACTTTACATAACGCATGTATAAAAGCATGTGCATGCACTGAACACAATATTGAGATGGCCTGAAGAGACATGGATGCAGTGCAGATAATAAAGCAAATTCACTGTCTGTAAGGGGAAAGGTCAGAGACTGATCTGCCAGCATGAAAAGCTTTCAGATGGAGGGAATAAAACATTTCCTCTCCATCTCCTGCTGACTTTCTCTCTCACCCACCCCCCGTTTATCTACTCTTCCTCTGTCCTCCTCGCTCAGTGCGTCCTTGAAGTATAAATCTCTCTATTTCGGTCCTCACAGTGCCAACTTTCCATTCCCTTCTCCCATACTGACGGCACAGAAGCTGCACAAACATTTACTTGACAAAGAGCACAGTCAGTCCAAACATACACATTGCATATGCTCGCCCTCTCCATCACACAGGCCTATGATTAATAGCTGAGCATCTGGCTTGCGTCTCATGAAAAGGCACTGGAGGAGTGTTTGGTTGGAGGGAAGGAGGGCTGCCTGTCCCAGCAAGACCTCTGACCGACTCCCACGACACAATTTCAGGCTTTGAAAACTGGAGTAATCTGTGGCCAAACATCAATCTGGGCTGGGTACACAGTAGCTTGAGGGGGTTTCCAAAAAGGACACATCAGAAACAGACCAAGATTAGAGTACTGGACAAAAAAAGGTTACCGAGCAAAAATTAAAATTCTGAATCAGATCTATCAGGTAAGAGAATTTAAAGGTGCTACGAGAAAACCATAACACATCCAGTTTACAAAGAATGGCAAAAATGTGTCGACGCGTGTTATTATTTAGCCATCTGCAGATCATTTTCCAGATGTTTTGTTCATAGAGGTCAGAGGACGCTTGTAATCTTGCAACATCTAAAAAATGTCTTTTTTAAGTTGTCCAACAATCTGAAACCCTTAAATTTTTAGTTAGCAGACACGTGACTCACAGAATTTCCTCAAGTTGTCCTTTAAAAACATGCCACCAAATCAATTAACTCACTGATGTTTCAGCTCCAGCATTGTTGTCTTTATGTGATTCCAAGTAGGTGGAAACATGTCTATGACTTTTCTGTTACCCGGTGTTGACATTGATGTGTGTGCTTTTTCAGTGTTTCCTGCACATATACATACCAACGTCCAAGCATCCAAGTAAAGTATTCTATAATCCATTTTACCATTTTCCTCTATAAAAAACTCTTTACTCGAATTTAAAATTGCTAGCGGCTGCACAAAGAGGCCTTTTCTCATGTTTAATAAGCAGATGTTTACGCAGTTTTTACTTGACAAATCACAGAGTGGTCAACAATACTGATGTAATGTTATTAGTATAGAAATAGGTATTTTTCACACCATTTACATATTTAAAAAAATGCTTTGGGTAGAACTGAGAACTGATCCAAATGTATACCACGTTTCTGTGTCATTATATAGACTGACAGGTCTGAATTTTCAACTCCATTTAAAGACAAAATCAAATATCAATACTAGTTCTAAACAGACCAAACAGAATATCAACGTCACTATCAAAGCGTGCTGAATTACTGCCTCTGACTTTAAATCTGCGTTGAAAGGAGCAGCTGAGAAAACCGTGTATAGTGCAGTACAGTCCACTGAGCTCTTACATACAGCATCTGTGTGCAGCCTGAAAGCAGGAAGCTGGAGTATTTCCATTTTAATGTGAGTCAGATGTTGCTCCAGTAATTCTTGATTGATAAGCAATTTTCCAGTAACGTCCGCTAAAAGTAAAGTCTGCTGTAAAAAGTCTCAGGCTCCTGTGTCATTCAAATACTTTCTTTTTGCAAACCGTTGACAACAAACCAAGTGTTCATTACATGTCAGAAGCTTTAAAACCACAGACCCCAATGAAGGGTTTCAGCTCAAAGTTTTCCATCATTTTTTCCCCTCGTATGACTCCTTTCATCCTCTAAACAAACCACCTGCTGGGGGTTAAATCTGCATGGGTTCATTCTTACTGCTCATAGGACAGCTGTGCATATCATCAGGCTACGCCGAGAGGGTGTAATGCTTTGCTGGATTGCATTCTTTACCCCCTCTTAACCCCACGGTCGCCCCTGTGTGTATTTGCTCAGCTATGATTGACATTCTGACAATGACGCGAGTTGGGAATCCAGTTTGTCTGCTGCAGCTTCCTCTGCTACACCACGCCCAACTCACTCATTTGAAGAAACATTTTTTTAAGCTAGCAAGCATGCCATCACCAGCTGCACTTTAAGATGACAGCGCTGGAGTCTGTGCACTCACTGCACTAACTGCTTTAATCATTCTCTGTGTTTATAGTTTTCGGTTAATAACTAAATAAAAAAATTGGTGTCCCTTTTTGTGTGTGCATCCCACCGCCACAGAGAAAGTGTTATTATGTGGAAAAGAATGCATGTCCTTTGGGAACTCAGCGCTGCCAGTCTGCAGCTCTGAATTCAGTTGAATCTTTATTGCATCAGTTGGTTTTGTTAGTCAGGCACTAATGTTTTGGTGCAAACAGCGTATCCAGAGCCTATTGTGTGACGGATGCACTTCATACAAGGAACTAAACAGTTATTGTTATGCATGACACTGAAATGACATCTTGATACTGATAAAGCAGTATTGCCATGTGTTTTGCACAATGAGACACTCCATTCAACTCATCCTGCCAGACAATGTGAGGCAGAATCACCGTACAGTAGTTGTTATAGGTAGACAAATATTTGACCCTCCGTATCACACAATCCGACTAATTTTTCTACAATTTTATCAGGCTGTTCAGCCTGTGTGAAAGCAGTGTCCTCTGGCATTTGTGGACAGAAAAAAGTCATAGGTCAGAGGTTTCAGTTTCTCTTCCTGGCAGCCTCCGTCTGTGGTCTGTCCAGCCTGAGGGGCAGATGTGACAATGAGGTGCGTCACAAGTAAAGATGGAACTCTTCACACAGCTCACCTAAAATTGCTGAGACTCTGTGCTAACATTTCAGTGGGTCCTCAGCAAACATCACGCTGGCTCGACAAAACCAAACAGGCCTCACAAACACTTGAACGATGAGCGCAAACACTGCAGGGAGCTGCAAGTCAGCTGGGCTCAACTCACATTCAAGTTAAGGGCAACACCCATGTGTGTGGATCGAAGCTGCAGGGAATCAATATTTAGAGCCAAGAGTGAATATTTAGAGAGAATTTGCAATATTTGCTTCTTTTTTCTATTTTATTGTAGGAAACTCATCAAATAAAGCCAACACACTCCCAAATGACATGCAGAAATGTCAGCTGTACACAGCAGACGTGAAAGACTAGCTGAAAATGACAGCTCCATTCTTCTGATTGTTTTAGTTACTGCCACAGCCTAAACCTCCCCTAAAGGCAGGTCCGTCCCAATTAGCCTTCCTCGTGCAGCTTTAATTAAATATTGGTTCCACATGACAAGTTGAAGTGCAGTGCCAGCTCTCTGTAAATAGATTAGTGACCTAAACTTCAGTGATGGATGGCTGACCCCCACAGTTTCTCTTCCTCTCCATCTCTCTCCAGCCCAGCCTGTTGGCCCCATTTCTCCTCTCTGTCCTTGCTGTCATCTCGACCTCCATCATCATTTAAAGGTTGCTTATTTTTCAGTGATACCAGAATCTTTAACTCTCACACCTAAATGTAAATTATGTAAAGTACCCTACAATGCCAGTTGCTCAGTACTGGACTGCTACCTTGGCACTATCCTGCTACTGATTTTGGGGCCAGTTTTTGTAATGTTGCTGACTGAGACGGTCTGTGGGTCTATTTATGCCATAGGCCATACTTTGCCAAAGTACACCACAGTCATGAATTTAATACCTCCACTAGGGCTGGGCCATATTATACCGTTCACGGTAATACCGGTATAATGTTAGGCAACGATAGGAAAATGAAATATCGCGATAGAATGGGAGTAAAACGCGCATGCGCAGTGGCTTTGTTTTCATACGCACATGGCCGATTGTTGAGTGAAACAGATGAACCAGAATTGGTTTGTAAAAATGGTGCAACTTCAGTGATGTGGAACTGATTTGGTGTTTGTCCGTCAGATACACGACAAAGCACATTTTTTTGCAGAACATGCAAGCGGCCGTCGTTATTGTCGTATTTGTCGGACTAAGATGCTCTTAAATCTGGGAGTAATCTGGGTCCTAAACTCCGTATGCTTCAGGTCAAACAACACTGCAGCATCACTGAGCGTTAAAAACTGTCTAAATTCTTTCATCTTTAATAAAACGATCAGCATTGCTGCTTTACCAGGTGTAACTATAAAGTTTAACTTCCAGGCATCCATGAAAACAAAAGCTATTACATTTAACGGAGTTAGAAGTTAGCAGGAAGCTAGCGGAAGTTAGCTCGCTAGTTTTGCTAGTTACCTAAGCATGATATAGCATGTTCTGACTGAGAGATTTCTGAAAAAAATCAAACGTACAGCTCTGCTATCACTTCCAACATAAATGAAGACAGGAAACTAAACAGCAGTGAAGTTTGTAGGGTTACTGAAGTTGGGCTAGCTGGTATATAATGATGTGCTACGTGATCGCTAGCGACACAGCTATGTTAGCATAACATAAACAGTGAAGCTGGAGGACCAACACTAACACTTTTCCACTTATAAAAGTTAACGTTAAGGTTCTTCATGGTTAGAGACAAATGCAATCGCATGGCAGGATGCTGTAAACGGACCAAACTTCAGTCAGGAGAACAACTGAGATAATCCATCCACAATACGAGGTTAGTCATTAATATACTGCAACATGGGAATAGAGCAGCTGCCAGAGAATTCAACATTAATGAATCAATGGTACAGAAGTGGAGGAAGCAAGAAGAATGAGTTTAATCAAGTTTGATTTATCTGACTGCTTTGTTTCACTTAATGTGCCTCATAATCCTGTGCACCTTATGGTCCGAAAAATGCGTACTGCACACTGC